TTGTCTCCCAGTGAGTTTCTTTGCAGCCTTTCCTTCCACTTCTCTACCCCATTCCCCACTTACCTGATCTCAACTGTGCTGCAGGCTGGGTGCTGCTGGATGAACAATCTGTGCAGAGCTGTTCCCCCTGCAGATTCAATCAGTAGAGATAGACAAGGAAACAGTGTAACTTCCTATCCCTGCCTCTCTACACACACAACAACGCCTGCTGGCCAACACCGGCATTGCAGTCTAACCTCAATCGGAGAAAAATACCGCCATGTTATTGCCTATTTTTGCAATACATGCACTGGCCAGGCAGCTTCAAATACTGGTAAAATACCAGATAGATGGCAAACCATATTACATTAGTAAAATCTTAAACTAAAGAGCAACTCCAGTGCTGGATTCAGTCTTTAGGGGTTAAGGACACGTTAGTAAAACATTACTTTGCTGTGATTTACACAGCATTCCGAGATAGTAAGAGGTTAAAACACCTCAAATGAATTACCAATATCTGCTGAGCGGTTTCAGCCAATAAGCGCCTCCCTGCACCACCAGGCCTAGCACAGTGACAGGAGCGTCCAAGGGCAGAGGAGATGGTGGCAGGCATCAAGCAGAACTTCAAGTCAATTCTCAAACCCTTCTTAGATGGTTTTACTACTACACACTGGGGGAGAGCACCAGGGCACTCTTATCATCATAACCACTGAAGCAGACTGTAGTGGTTATGGTGCTTGGAGTGTGCTTTTGCATGCCATTGTATAAATGAGGCAGTGACAATCTTTGCAGACATGTTATTTTATAATTCTTACTTTACAAATGGTTGGGGTGTAGACCCTACTCGCATGGACCTTGGCAGCATATAAATCCTTAGATAGGCAGACACACAGACTCAGAACAGACGTTATGTCAAGTGTGTGATGTCAGGTTTTAGTGAACTGCACCTTTATGCTTTTGGGTAAGTTTATATCTAACCATAGAGCAACAAAGCATCATGTATTTATATTTTTGCTCTTTGTAGAAAAATGTGTAAAATATTATTTTTCTGAATGCGTGGATGACAAAATCCAAATGTAATATCTCATTTGTCAGATAATTTAGTTCCAGACGTACAGCCAAATACCTGCCAGCAAAGATAAGGCAATCACTGCACTTAACGTGTGTCTCTTAAAGTACTCTGCTGCTCTCGCTAGCTGTAAAGGGATTAGCGCTCTGTGGGCAGGATCAGACTAAATCTTATGATATGCTTTTAAGGACCATTGTGAATGGTGTTTATGCTGCAGATTCTTGGCAACTTGCAGTTAAGATGTCAGCTGCGGTTCTGTGTATTTATTAGATGACATCACTGGCTCACTGGTATGTGTCATATCGGTTGGCATAGACAATTAAGAAATTAGCAATGCTCTATTCTCATGCTCTCCCCAATAAAAACGAACAAGGAATTATAAATAATGCATTACTTTTTTCACTGCCATTCATTGTAGAGCATTTTTACGGGAAATACAATTTTACGTAAAAACAAGGGAGTTTGATTTTATCAAAGGGCACTCCTACTTGGTATGGTTGGAGAAATGAGATTTCACCCATTTACATATATATATAACCCATTCTGAGTTAAAAACAAATGTAATTATTGACTAATATAGGCAGGGAGAGTACAGATATGTGGTGTGAACATTTCTATGACACACAAGGTTATTAATAAGCTAACACCAATTTTCATTGAATTAAGATCTAATGTAGAAATAAGAGTCCCATCAACACATTAACACGTGTCCATGAACAGCATATGCATGATTGAGATCTTGATGGACTCTGCAGTGCATTATGGGAAGTTGTTGGAGCTTGTATCGTGCTTCTGTGTTTAATCCAGAGCACAATGGCTCTACTAGGTTAGGGGAAAAGAGAACTGTCACCAACTTAAAGGTGAGAAATCCTTTTTATGTAGTCTGATTTGTGAAGGAGGTATAATTAAGCAGTCAACTGCTGTAAAGCTACAACTATTATTACATTCAGCCAATCTGCCTTTGGCCAAACAATGATTCATTAAAATGGTTATTTACAAAAGTGAGAATGTCAAAGTTTATTTCAAATTTCAGGCCAAAATATCCAGACCAGGTATCTATGCTTCCAGCATGACTTCTTTGTCCTTCAATTAGAAATTCACTTTGCCTTTCTGACAATTCTCATGTTGAGTATCACCTTCACATTGAGCTATTGCTGGATTCTGGGTAATTAACTAAACCTGCCCCGAATTTACCTTATATCAATCCTAGGGGTGATGAATTGATTGTATGCCCACTTGCTTAAAACATTAACCCCTCACATGCTCCACATGGAGGAAGAAATGGGAAAACATTTAACATGACCTCCAATGTTATTATGTGTTATTTAAACTTGAGTTGTCTCAAATTGCTAAGATCTGGACTCTCCGGCTAAAAGCAGGACTCTTGTGATGCCTGCCAGAGGTGGATTAAAATTAAATAATCTAAGGTTATCAAGTGGGTCAAAGCCAACAAAATAGAGAGAGCTAGCTCTGTACAAACTGCATCTGGTAAAGACATAACAAATACTATTTTATTTTACATTTTAGGCCATCCATTTAAATGTTGTCAGTGTTGCAACGCTGCATAGATTTTAGTATGTTTCCACTTCTCTCCTGCATGTAAAATATTTCACTGTCAGAATCCATTAAGAATTCAAGGCTACCTGGAGGGCTAAATGCATTGTATTTAGAGCTATTCTCCTTACTGACAAATGACCTGATGCAAAATATTGATTAATCCAACTCCCCGATTTTTATTACAATAGTGCGTTTTTTAATTATCACCTCATTCCAATTTTATGGTGGAAGATCATCAGTCCATTGAAAATGGTTTTCATGCACTCAATTGATTTCCCACGAACCTTATAAATACTGTGGCTCAGGTGTTGCTTATTCCCAGTAAGAGGTTTCAGCCAATTATCCACCCCCGTAATGTAGGCTTTGTCACCCTTCCATGCATAGCATAACCTTTGAAAGGAATCTGTAGCACTTGACAGTGCAGTGATGGAATGATATGATGACAGTGAAGGTATTCATCCATATGAGGGTTTTTTCTGCTAAACAAAGAATTGTGGTGAATTACACAAACAACTAATTTAGGCCAAAAGACCGAAATTTGTCAAATTCTCCGTGGGGATGCCTATGTTTTTCATGGTGTGCTGATCTTTCATGGGTGTTCATGTGAGTTCCATCCCATGGTTCCCGATGTCTGGGCTGAAGATTTTGGGGTTCATATTGCTGTATAAATTCCTTCTAATGTGTTTACAGTATTTTTATACTGTTTGTGTTATTCAAATGATACACAGTGTACAGTATTGTGTGTTTGTGCATGAGCTTGATGCAATCTGAATGGATGCTATATGTGAGGTAGGTGCTGTACAGTTCCATGGTTACTCATTAATGTGAGAATTCAAAGTGAATTTTATATTTAAGGCCAGAGTAGCTGAACAGAAAGCATAGCTGATTTAGAAAATGTTTCCAGGTTTAGCTTCTTTGACCTTAAAGGAAAACTATAGTGTCAGGAATACAAACATGTATTCCTGACACTATAGTGTTTTACACCCTAAAGCACAAACACACGCCGCGTGTATATGTATTTTTATATACACATACACACACACACACACACACACACACACACACACACATATATATATATATATATATATACAAATACAAATATACATAGGTGCAGTGTGTGAGCAGTGCAACGTGTAAGGGGTGCAGTGTGTGTGATTGCGAGGGGCACAGTGTGTGTGTAATTGTGATTTTTGGGGCCCCTGACAAAGCACACGGTCTGGGCCCCCCCTGCCCTCCGGATACAGTGTGTGTGTGTGTGTTAGTGTAGTGAATGCAGAGTGTGTGTTAGTGTAGTGAACGCAGTGTGTGTGTGTTAGTGTAGTGTATGTAGTGTGTGTGTTAGTGTAGTGTATGTAGTGTGTGTGTGTGTGTTAGTGTAATGAATGCAGTGTGTGTGTTAGTGTAGTGAATGCAGTGTGTGTGTGTGTGTGTTAATGTAGTGTATGCAGTGTGTGTGTTAGTGTAGTGAATGCAGTGTGTGTGTGTTAGTGTAGTGTATGCAGTGTGTGTGTTAGTGTAATGAATGCAGTGTATGTGTGTGTTAGTGTAGTGTATGCATGTAGTGTAAATGGAGCATTCCAAAAAAGTTATTTCCCCCTCCCTGGTTCTTACCTGGTCCAGGGAGGGGGGAGATTCAATGATCCCTGGTGGTCCGGTGGCATTGTGGGATCCCCCGGCTCCCTGTACTTGCAGAGGGGGCCCAGCAGACAGCAAGTGTACTTACAAGCTCTTCCCTCTCTGTAACTCCCGTGAGACCCGCAGCGCGTTGCCATGGTAACCCATGGCAACGCTCTGACAGCCGCAGGTCTCGCTGGAGTTACAGAGAGGGAAGAGCTTTTAAGTACACTTGCTGTCTGCTGGGCCCCCTCTGCAAGTACAGGGAGCCGGGGGGGAGGTGGGGGCACGGCTATCTATGTGTGCAGAGAGGGAATGTGGGACCCAGGACTGCCAGAGCAGTCCGGGCCCCCAGGACCGCCAGGCCCGTGACAACCATCATGGTTGTCACCCCCTGATGGCGGCCCTAGGTACAGTGTGTGTGTGATTGTGAGGGATGCAGTGTGTGGGGTACAGTGTGTATGTTTGTGAGAGGTGCACTGTGTGGGCGACAGGGGGTAGGGGAGTGGAGGGGCAGCAACAGGGGGTAGAGGAGTGGAGGGTCAGCAACAGTGGGTATGGGGTGGAGGGCCAGTGACAGGGGTTAGGGGGGTAGAGGGACAGGGGGATCTCAGACTGACAGGAGGGGCCTCACACCCCGCGGCATTGTGGGCAAGCCGTCGGGCCCCCTCCTGTGTCGGGTCCTCAGTCATAGATGTTAGTCTGCCCTAAGGCAGTGCAGCATGGAGGTGTGATTAGGGTGTGCCCAGGCAAAAGAGAGAGAGGGGTACAGAGTCTGGGTCAAAGGAGGAGCAGGGAGAGCCTAAGGCAGGAAGGGAGCAGGGAGAGCATGAGGCTCTCCCCGATCCTCCTCTGCCTCATGCTCTCCCTGCTCCCCTTCTGCCTTAGGCTCTCCCTGCTCTTCCTTTGACCAAGACTCTCCCTTCTTCTCCTCTGCTCCTGGCTTCCCTGTTCCTCCATTGCCCCTTGCTCCCCCTGCTTATCCATGCTCCCTCTGCTTCTCCTCTGCCCTAGGTAAATATATACAGATGCACGCAATGACAAGCATGCAGATACATAGGCATACTGATACAAACACTGACACATGCAGATCCAAAGACACACAGATACAAATGCGGACACATATGCAGATGCACAGCCTCGTTAAAGCGCAGCAGCGCACAATCAGGCCCCATGATGACATATATCCATTAGGAGGCCTTAAGTGCATGGACCACCTGAAGGGCTCCCTCAGCCTACGTAAACCCTGTCAGTGTTTCTTCCATTACTGATTTTTTTTCTTATACCCCTGAGCGAACTCATTCGTACCCCCTGGGGGTATGCGTGCCACAGGTTGGGGACCACTGCACTAAGGCATTATATAACGTCTTGCTACAGTTTTTAACATCTCATTTCATAAACTATGCATTGGATCTTACTGCACTCTGTAACTAGCACAGTGTTTCTATTTTTTGAAGTTAAGTCTATTTTTAAAATGAACAAAATCAGTTTCAGTTAAAAAAAAAAAAATGCCCTAAAGGCAGACAATCCTCAGTCATTTAGCAACTGACAGACTACATATGTCAAGTATCTTTGTGGCTCCAGCACAGGAAAATATCCTTCAGACCAAATATGTGTTAGTCATATATCTTGGCCTTCAAGAAAATCAGTCCAGCTTTCAGCCTTTAGGGACAGAAATTCTAAGTTCACAGAGATACTGTTTTCAGTGTTCAGAACCTTTTTCAAATAATAAATAAATTGGTTGATGTGTTATGCCTAAATAATTATATTATTGGCTATTATATTATTAAGGAGTATTTGCCACCTAAATCTTTCTTTATGTAAAGCAGTTTAAACAATATTTCCAACAGGCTGTAATATTTCTTTTCTTCTGTGCTAAGTTTTAATAATGAAAGTTCACGTTCACGCAGTGAACACTATTCATTATACACAATTTCAACTTAAATAAGCAAGTACAGTAAAAGAAAAAAAAAAGAACTTTTGGAAAAGTTTAAATAAATAATATGTTGCACAATAAACAGTTACATTTTCAGTAGTAGATGTCCATACACAAAATGGAAATGGAAACAAAAATCCACAATAGCCCACGACTGTCATTTAACAAATAATAGATGATTCTAGTAATGAAAATTTACAAATGCTGTATTAAAGGGACTCTCCAGTGCCAGGAAAACATATCCATTTTCCTGGCACTGCAGGACCCTGCAGTGCCTCCCTCCCTTCCTCCCTCCCTCCCTCCGATGTCCCTCAGCGCTGAGTCAGGCTCCGCCCATGCTCCTCCCACGCTGACTCAGCCGGCGAGGGAGGGAGGGAGGGAGGAAGGGAGGGAGGCACTGCAGGGTCCTGCAGTGCCAGGAAAATGGATATGTTTTCCTGGCACTGGAGAGTCCCTTTAATACAGCATTTGTAAATTTTCATTACTAGAATCATCTATTATTTGTTAAATGACAGTCGTGGGCTATTGTGGATTTTTGTTTCCATTTCCATTTTGTTTCTCTGCTATGTTTATAAATGGGTTAATCCATCCTCCAATTCCTCTAGTGGCTGTCTCATTGACAGCCGCTAGAGGCGCTTGCGTGATTCTCACTGTGAAAATCACAGTGAGAACACGCAAGCGTCCATAGGAAAGCATTATGAATGCTTTCCTATGAGACCGGCTGAATGCGCGCGCAGCTCTTGCCGCGCGTGCGCATTCAGCCAAATGGGAGGATCGGAGGCGGAGAGGAGGAGGAGAGCTCCCCGCCCGGCACTGGAAAAAAGGTAAGTTTAACCACTTTCCTCTCCCCAGAGCCGGGCGGGAGGGGGACCCTGTGGGTGGGGGCACCCTCAGGGCACTATAGTGCCAGGAAAACGAGTAAGCTGAAATCCAAAACAGTGGATTTTAGATTGAATGTTACTATAATCCTACTATCCCTTCTATAGAAGGAACATTTCCTTTGTATCCACTTTATATAATTTTAAATTTGTCAAATGTTTTAATGAAAACTTCTATACATACTGTTAAATGTCTGATTTTGTCATTTGTCCTTTAATCATCTCTCAATACACATTTAATGTTAGGGGCATATGTTAGTGGTTATGGTATAATAAGTCTTTATGTATCAATAAAGTTTGGATAATGCAGGATCTCTCACCAGAAGGTAATAATAAAACTTTTCTTCAGTCTTCAAACAGTGTAAAAAAAGGATTTCTTACATAAAATCAGGGTAAACAGAGGGGAGTACAGAAAAAAAGATGCCTAATGCATTTTCTACCCTGTTTTCTGTCACTCATTTCCAAGCCTTGTGGCAAAAATCGAGCCTCTCCCAAGACCAAAATAAATTAAGGATTGGGCACATGTATAAGGCCCAGGTTTCTTAGACAGAAACAAGCAAAGTTTTGGCTCAGTGAGAGTCTATATCAAGCTAAAACGTTGCTTGTTTCTGTCCTTTACATGTGCCCAGGCCTTGATTTATTTTGCATTTGAAAAGACCGGTCAGATGTGGGCTGCAAGCATGTTGTGTGGATATAATGTGTGCCCAACCTATTTCTTTATTCTTCTCTCCCAGGACCAAAATCTGACCTCTTTCCTACTGCTTTGATTACTTGGACATTTCACTTCCACATAAAACATACACCTCACTACAAAGATGTCCAACCTTTGGATGGTAATGATAGGCTGTGAATGCTAAGAGCCAGTTAGCCATGCATTCTCAGCCAATCAGTGCCATTCAAGTTTGAACAGCTTTGGGCCAATAATGAAGAATATTTGTGCATCTGGCAAGTGTCCAACCTTTGAGTGCTGGAAGTTACTGTCAAACTGCATGACTTCTTGCACCATAGCCACTACACTAAGCTACAGTGTTTATCCTGCTTCGAGTGTCTCTTTAACACTTCTGTTTGTATTCATATACCAGTCTCATTGAGCAGATTTAGGATTGTAAAAAAAATCAGATGAAGAAGAAGCTAGATTCGATTCCAACAATGTAAGCATTTTAGTGTAACAATTGATATGGCATGTTTACAATCCAGATGAGCCAGAATACAGAAATAGCCGTGCACAAAAATTTCAGTATCAAGCAGTTTAATTAAGTTATGATGTGTTGTTTAATTGCCCCTTGATATATGCTTTGCATTTATTTGATCTGTATTGTGAAGAGACCACAGGAAAATAGGTTAAAGAAAATAAGTTGTCACAGAACAAAAGGTTTATTCATTTGTTTTGAAGAAATAATACGACAATGACTTTTTCTAGGACTATCACTCCATTAATCATTCAGAAGGTTAAAATGAAACAAGCTTTTTCTTTCAATAAAAGAATATTAAATAATTCACAGATGCATGTTATAAAACATTAAACTAGGCATGTAATAAAATAAAATCTATAAGTATATTATATTTCCATTTCCTGCAAATCTTCTTATGCCCTTCTTAATTACACATTTTGGTCTCGTATATACATCAATTAAAGTATAAAATATCCAGGACTATTTTCAGGGGGTGTTGACTCGTTCATAGTACCGGTGAAATGTAGATTAACTACCAGCTGTAAACCTATCACATGGTCAGTATATACTTATATAGTGTTGTTATTATTATTAAGGCATATCTCTTGTGTTACTAACATCTAGCAATAGGGAGTAATGGAATAGTTTTTTTTGGGATGTTTTGTTTTTAATCTCTGGCTGTTGCAGTCATTGCTATCATCCTTAATCCAATGAGTTTTTGCATGATTAATAAAGAACATAAATAGCTGAAATGTGAGAATCATGGAGTTACTTTTTGCATGCCCCAGCATGAACTGACAGATTGTTGATTGTTGACGTTAGCCAGGGACATAAAACTGATCTAAACATGTGTTTTATTGTGTGTTGTATTATCATCACTAATTGTTCTTTGCATTTTAATCTTTCCTTTACAAAAATGCCCCATGTAGTTGATTATGGTTTAATTGTGAGTGGAATGAAACGCCTCCCAATCGCATCCTACTGTGTGTAACTGGGGAAGTCTATAAAATCAGGAGTAAATTGTGTGATGGTCTCTTTTTTTAAAGTAGTGGGTAAGCATTCCCCAATTTCACATCCATTAATGTGATAATGCCAACCACAATTTCATGTACCAGACGGATGGCTGTAGAACATAGTTTCTATATTTTGTTTATTTAATGCCAAATCCCATTGGTACTAAATACTAATCCCCCAGTTTTTCATATGCCCATTCTTCATCCTGGTGATCTCCATCACCATAAGCTTTGAGCCTCACTTCTTTTTTGCTGTTGCACACTAACACTAAAGCTACCATTTATGTGTACGATTAATATAGCGTTGACAATGGGGAAAACATGTTTAATTGTGTCATCGGGGAGTTATGGAATCCAGACCAAAATCAGTGTTAACCAACACAGATTCCTGAAGATGTTAGAGCTTGATCTAATGCATTGTGTAACCTCATGACAGTGGCGGTCTCAATGTAAATCCCCAAAAATCATTTAAACGGGATTCACAAGTTACCAGATAGCTAGATAATTCATTAAAGTTCATCTTATTATCAGAAAGCCAGTAAGTCAATGGTCAGTCTGAGCTAACATACAATCTTAGGGCATAGTTCTCTTCTCTTCTCACAGATGATTATCATGCTATATTGTACATACGAGGACACCTTCACCATGAGGCAATCATTTCATTTACATTCATAGCATCTTTGGCATTGTTAAGGTATACTTTGAAGTTAATATCTACAATAAATCAATGACTAGTAGACTGTTAAGCAATAGATGAAGAAAACCATGACCTTTTTCAATGTCAATTTAAAACGGATTAGGATATGTTGCAGCTGTAACGGGAAAGTCATAATTGGGGTTTGAAGTAAACCTCTTTTTTTCTGGTTGTAAAGACTTGTTTTCCATCAAAAGTTCAATCTTATTTATTTTACTCATAAGCTGTCTACCAGAACAACCCATTCAACTGTGTCATTTAAATATAATGGCCAGCATTCAGCACCAACTTTCATGAATATTACTCTTTGATCCATAAACAAATTAATGTACTGAAATAATGCAATCACTGTCAAATGAGAATGAATGCTGGTAACTGAAAGAACATGAAACGGAAGATGGTAGAAAGCTTTATTTGGTTTAAAATGTTATATGGAGACGATCACAAAAACATGCAGGTTTTCACTTCCAACTATCTGTTCTTGTTAGAATGTTTAAAGACATTATATGTGGAGAGGATACCTAGAAAAATACTAAGATGGCAATATTTTCCTATTATACACGATTCTCTATTGTGTAGTTAGGGTAAGATATTCTTAGGGTTCTGTATGGACTAATGTTTAATGATACATCATAATATTTAGTGCAAGTGTAGTGAGAGAGCATTGTGTAGTGTAGGGTTCATTTTCAGTGATAGTGTAATGAGTTACAGTAATGTAGGGGTTAATGTTCAGTGTAGTGGGTTAGGGAAATGTAGGCATTCATGTGTAATGTGTTTGTGTAGTTTATGAGTTAAGGGGAGGACTGTCAGGGCAGCATAGGGACATATATGACCTGGTGCTATCTGAGTTGGGAGAAGGTTCAGTCCTGACTGGCAGATATTTCAGCTGTCATCATTAAAATAATGAAAAGTACCACTCGAGAGTGTAGTTCACACCAATTTCCATCTAATTTAATTTGAAATTTGGGACCACAAAAGGTTTTAATGAACCATCCCCATCCAATGGTCATGAAATGAGGAGACAGTGAAGGCATTCTTCAGTCGTCTGTTTATTAACATGATCCCACACGTGACTGCCTACAAGGTGTGTGAATAAGGGACCGATCAAAAACTGTAATTACAAAGTGGTTGTAATATTGGTGTCACTTGCAAAATTTTTATTTTTTGTTGTTTTTTTAGTGCAATAGTTTTTCTAATGACACTTTCAAGTGTAATTGGACATCATTACTCTATTTAACCAAGCAATAATGACACCTACTGGTCAACTTTATGGCTTGCATTAATCAATATCCAGTGTTTTTATTTTATTCAATTATATGTTCTATTTATTTGTGTATGCATACACATAGCCTTTGTAATAATTATAATTTTAGACAATAGCTATTTAGCCTCAAGTAAAGAATCCATATATTCATCGTCTTATTTATGATCTTTCAATTGTGATTAAGATTTAGTGTCATCAGTTTAACTATCTGTTATTTTTCACAAATTCTGTTAATATCTGTTGTTCACAAATTCTCAATTTCTCTGCGGTTTTTAAAATTAGTCAAACAGTGAGTTTTGGTGATAACTAACTTTAAATTTAGACTAAAATAGAGAAGTTTTTAATCTTGATTATATTGGATATTTGATCACCTCTGCTAAATTGGTTTTACTTTT